TATATATATATATATAAACAATTTGAGGAGGCCGGATTAAAATTCCAAGCCAGCTAAGAAAAATCATAAACCCAACCCCAATCCTTCATTACTTTTTTTTTTTTTTTTAATGAATCATTTCTAGACTAACATAGCATGCAAGCTTTTGGGTTTGTGTCACTTATTATGCCCATCGATGATGGATCACACTGTTAGCACAAGGCTCGTATTAGACAAAACTTGGGCCCAAAATTTACGTTCAACATTATATATACACCTCTTTTTTTTTTTTTTTTTTTTATAAGCACACTTCCATTTAAAAAAATAATTAAAATTTTAAAATATCATTAGTTTTTATCTTTTTAATTTTATACCCCAACATTTAATTTAATGATTTTTTTCACACACCTCCTTTCCTCATTTTTTGGGTTTTCACATGCACCCTATACCTTTTTTCCACCCCACTAATTTTAATAAGTTTTAATTCTTTCAATTTTACATTACTTTGTTTTCCATCTTTTTTCATTTTTCTCATTATTATCTTCTTCTTTTTCGCTTTTAGTTTTCACACGCACTCAAAATGTAAAGCTAGTTTTCAACAACATTATAGGCACGTGTAGCTTTCTCGACAATGTTAAAAGTATCGAGCTAAATGTGCATTTTTTTCTTCAAGCACTTCTTCTAGTTACACATCGGAAAAACACAATATCAAATAATTTTAGTGTTTTAAAAAATACTTTTTAGAATAGTAAACTTAATGTTACCGAAAGCATGTTTCGAAATTGAGTTTTTAACATACTTTTGAAAAGTATTTTTTGGAATACTAAATTTAGTATTATAGAAAATACTTTCCAAAATTATGTAAAATAACATTAAATTTACTATTTCAGTAAGTACTTTCTGGAAGTGTGTAAAAAAGAACAATTATGAAAAGTTATTTATGTGATAATGTTTTTCTCATAACACTAAACTTAATGTTAAGGTTTTTAGATGGGTGAAAGGAGAGAAAATATTGGAAGAAAAAAATGTGTCTTGTTTGATAAAAATCGTCGAGAAAGTCACACGTACCTACAATGATGTGGCATGTCAGTTCTACAATCTGAGTGCATGTGATAAAGTGAAAGAGGTGAGGAAAGAAGAGAGTAATGTAAAAATCGAAAGAACTAAAATAAGTGAAAAATTGGAAAAAGACAAATGAGTGTATGCGAAAACTAAAAGAGAGAAGGAAGAATGTGTATGAAAAATAAGAAGAAAGTAATAAATTGAAAGTTAGAGGTGGTGTAAAATTACAAAATAAAAAAAATTATGAATATTTTAGGAATTAAAAAAAAAAAAAGAGGTGTACTTATTTAAAAAAAGAAAAAAGAAAAAAAGAGGTATCACCCAATTTTAGCCCAAACACTTCTCCACAGTCCCCAGCAATACTGAATACATCTTCACCGAGACACTCTTTGTCCAAAATTCTGGGTACCAACAACATAAATCAAATACGCATGTGCATCTTCCCTCAATTGAACAACCAAAACAGGTAAATGGAACCTTGAAATTCACTCATAACGACTCAAAAATTGAGGGAGAAAAGCCGATTACTCAAGCATGCCAAATTATTTCAAACCACAAGATATCCCAATTTAAATCTTACAACTTAAAACTAGTGCTTACATTCAAAATCCAATTCTGGGTTGCGTATGTTGGCAGAGAAGGGTACAAGTACAACTCTTATCTTTTCTTTATCTCACCAGTTTTTCCAAATTGGGCTCAACGAGTGCTCGTGGCTTCAGCTAGGTCTGCACACTGTTTTGGGCTGAAGGGCTTCTATAGGCCCAACAGAAACAATAGGGCATGAAGCCATGCTCCCTTGGGATGCAAAGAAAAACATGAAGCCCAGTAAAAGAGTAAAAAGGTTGTAGAATACACGATTTTTACAAAAATTAATTATATTCACCGTAAAATTGATTTTGAGGAGAAAAAATGGTCCATGATTTTCAATTAGTGTTCACATAGTGAGGCCTAAAATTAATAATAATTTTTGAAAAACATTGTTATTTAAATTATATATTTATTTTTTGCCAAATAACATTTTTTATAAAATTAATTATAAATATTTTTTTGTTAGTAATTTTACCCCTGGTCAGTCTCGGATGTGCTTTTCCTTAAACCTAATAAACTTTGGCTTTCATATTCTATAATTTTTGTTTTTACCAGTTTTAATCAACATAATTCCTATATTTTCCACTATAATCTTTCTGTTAGCATAAAGCAGTACACGTTCAGTTTTGGTGTTTTTCTTCCACAATCTACGCCTATGTCAGTATAGCAAAATATTATGTTTTTATGTTAGCAGTGGACAATTGATTCTGCCACAACATGGCCTTGTACAAGTCAAAGACTAATATCGATTCATTTTAAAAGAGTTAGTTATATCCGTACACAAGGATGATATAGCTACAAGGACAAAATTAAGTGATTCCACACCATGTTGACAAAACAAAAATGGTTTAGAAAGGCAGTGGCTAGTATATTCCTGATTTTTCATATTTCATAATCCATAGGATGCAGACTTTGACGTGGACACGTGGTACTGCATAGAGGTCATCCAATGGTATCGCAATTTTCACATGCTCAATTGCTCACTGACTGGACCTTCCAACAACAACGTATATGCCAAAAAAGACAACGTTCCAGCATAATTGTACCTGCGGTTCTGCCAAGCAGAAAGTGACTTCACTGTCATTTTTTATTTCATCACCCACAAAACAATTATCATAATCACAATCCCTCACCGGTTGCCGACTAGGTAAATGTTGCTCAAGGACGAGATTTATTATTTATCTTTATTTTCGTGCTTGACATTTTTCACATGACTTTAGAGATAAGCACAGTTTTAAAACCGACATCAGCTATTTAACGTTTTTCTAATGAACGACAAGAAACGAGACAAAACTCGGAATTTGCGTGGCTAGTTTGTTCCAGTGTGGGGTGAATCACCCTGCTTTTATTGCGTGCCCCGTCGGATTATCATGCTTCTTAAGTCTTAAACATGGGAATGAAGTCATAGTACACCTTCACGTAATGCTTTTTGATCCTAGTGTGATACCTCTTAGAGGACTAAAGTAGTCTTAAATTTAGGTGAAGATTCCCATATATATTCACCCTCAATTTGTGATTTAGTTATCCACCTTCTCACATCTGATACGATGGACCTCAAATCCTTCTCTACCAATTCTTTGTGCACTTTGGAATTTGTCCACGTGGGAACAACAAGAACCTATTCCGCTTTGCTCTCAAATTTCAGGAGCTTTAGATTTTCTAGACAATTCAACTGTTTTGGTGGTAACAACAAAAATATTAGAGCCTCACTCATACCCTTTTCTTTCTTTCTTTCTCTTTTTGATTTGTCCATCAATTGTTGCATGTTTCTTTTCCTGTATGAATAAAAACACGAGTTTTGTTGACTAACTCTGGAGCCGAAGAAAAATTAGTTACGGTTGATTTCATTATGACGTAGACGTATCCAGAACTGACATTTTGCTAATTTATAATTGGTGTCTGGTTTTTATAGTCTACTATCTGCAGTTTCAGGGTTATTTCGAAGGAGCTATGAAGCCTCGAATAACATTTACTTGGCTGATAAAGCTGTCATCAGTTCAGTTGGACCATATAATCTTGATGCAGAAACGAGTTTCCATCATATTAATGGCATAAATGGCTCAACTTCTAGCTTGTGTTCCAGAAATCTGAGAGTACTTGATGGCTTTGATGATGTGTACGAGGGGGTTGTAATTGATTCAGACCGGTTACCAGATAGCCCGTCTACCTTCGCAGCTATTTTGCGTTTTTCTCTTTCTCATTGGAAAAACATGGTAAAACCTGATAGAAAATATACTGTTATGAATTCCTTTGAAGTTACATAATTCTGTTATTATTACCACAAGAAAAGCTTATATATAATGTAATTTGGGAATGAAAGAGGTTCTTATTCTATGATGTAACTTCTCAAGAAATCAGAAAGCATGCATGAGTATATTTAATTTGCTTTTCTTTGTGACTGCATCTATTGCCTCATGAATGTAGGGGAAGAAGGGGATTTGGCTTAGATTGCCTTCAGAGAAGTGTGACCTGGTTCCAATAGCTATTAGGGTAACATTACTTTTTGATTGTTTAACTCGCGAAAATGACAACTAATTGGCTATAAAAATGTCTTATTATCCAATCTTAATTATTGAAGAGTTGTTGAACCTATATGACTATGAGGTGGCTCATCGTGGTGTCAGGAAGGCTTTGGATACCACCATGCTGAGCCAGGATATGTAATGTTAACATATTGGATTCCTGAAGGACCTTGCATGCTTCCAGCCAATGCATCACATCAAGTAGGAGTTGGGGGATTCGTCATCAATGACAACAATGAGGTGTGATTGCTTTTACTACTAACATGAAAATGATGTACGCTGATACTAGTTCAAAAACAAACGTACTAATTGATAAACAAAGAAAACAAAATAAGTAGTTATTCTTGCTACTAAATTTAATTAATGCAATCACTTACGTAATATAATTTCAGGTACTTGTAGTCCAAGAGAAATGCTGTGTTCCTGCAAATTATGGTCTTTGGAAGATACCAACTGGATTCGTTCTTCAGGTATTTAAATCTGTAGCTTCAGTTCACCCATGTTTCTTAAAGGATTGAGAGACAAAAATAGAGGTTATGTTATGTTTTGGTTTCTTAACATTTTATAGTTCAACTTAAATTCTTTAACACTAGTCTAAATTTTTGTCAGTCAGAGGAGATATATGCAGGAGCCATAAGAGAAATGAAGGAAGAAACTGGGGTAAGACTATTGAGATATTCATCTGGTGTTACGTAGAGTCAGGGCTTTTTTAATTGCTTGTTGCCTATGTTTCAGATTGACACCGAGTTTATTGAAGTCATAGCATTCAGGTAACAACATAGTTCACATTCACATTTATTTAATATAGAAAATTTAAATAACTTTTCATTGATTTCTGAGTAATACCAATCCTGTTTGCACTTTTTTTTTCACCAATCGAGTACGATGTGATCTAAATTGAAAGGAATTTATTGCTTGAAAAATTTCCTCATAAGTTGCAATCAACTACTTACTGAGGGCAGTATGTCCAAATGGCCTTTTTACCTACACACCACTTATAGTTGTTAATAAAATGTGCTACGAGGTTTTTAATTGCATTGCTGCGGCACTTTTCTTGTAATTTTCTTAAACATCAAGATTTGATGAATTGCATCCTCAATTCCAGGCATGCACATAATGTGGCATTCGAGAAATCAGATTTGTTCTTCATCTGCGTGTTAAGACCTCTGTCAGCCGAGATCATTGTTGATGATCCTGAAATTGAAGCTGCGAAGGTAAGATATTCTAATTACTCACTGAAATGAAAGAAATAATAACGACCAATTATGATCATGTAACTACATATTCATCTCCTTTCTCTCAATTCTACTGGGACTCGAAGATTTTCTTAATGCCAGAGGTGAAATTCTTCTAGTAGGCGTTTGCTGATCTTTAGTATGGCAAGTAAAATCTTGAATCAAACTAGATACTTCTGAACTTTGACTAATCACTATGTGGACAATGGTGCTTAGTCCGAAGATTTTAAAGATCCTTAGTATGTCATTGGTTCTTTACCTAGTAGTCATAGAAGTGTCATCTTCTATCTACCATCATTTCTTTGCCAAAAAAAAAAAGTCTCCTTTCTTTCGGTCTCCACGACCAATTAAGGTTTGATAAATTACATGTGCACTGTGAGGAATAATGTGCATTGCATTAAATGAATTGAAGGTGGTTTACTTCCTAGTAGTTTAGGCTAGAGTTCTCCATTCTCAAGGGTTGTGACCAAATTTGTCTTTTGTCCTGTTCTACCTTTTCTTTTTGTTTGCTTTGTTTTGTAACCATTCCCAAATCAAGGAGTTAAGCCTTAATCTATGGGCCGCAGGCCCGTAGCCCATAAGTAAATTAGAATAAGGAAAAAGATGATGTGACTATTCTAAATAAAGATTAAAGACTGCAAGCGGCGGCGTTATTTGTATTCTAGCCACTTGTTTGCTATTCAGTTGTTATACTGTTTTTGTTACATGCAGAATTAATAGTGTAATACTAAACTAATATAACCATAGCTTTTGCTTTGTCACTAGTGATGATTAGTTTGTTACTTTAGAATAATTGGTGTGCTGTTATGTTATGCAGTGGATGCCTCTAGCTGAGTTTGTAGAGCAACCACTTATCCAAGAAGATTCCATGTTCAAGAAAATCATAGATATCTGCATTGCTTGTGTTGAGAAGCGTTATTGTGGCCTATCTTCTCATCAAATGGTTTCCAAATTTGATGGCAAGTCATCTTCCCTATACTATAATGTCATCGACATCGACATGGAACATAATATCAACTGTATTGGCAGTTAACAGCAACAAGTTCATACCTGGGATAATTAACTACTCCACTGAATATACCAAAGTTGTTAAGTGAGTCATAAGTGATGTAACCGAAATTTTATTCCCAACCTACATGATGTCTTTAAGAGCAACGTTCGAATTGAGCGTGATGTGTAACTGTCACACTTGTTCAGTTGTTCCCCGTTTACTGATGACCCTTGCATCACGCCTTTGTCAGTGGAAATTGTTATTGTGTTCGACTTGATTGCTAATCCATGTGTAAAGAATGAAAGAAAGAAAGAAATTGTCTGAACAAAATTCTAATTGAAACAAATGTTATTTTTATTTATGAATGTATGTCGTGAAAGATACATAACTTATGTGTCATTATTTGATTAGACAACTTCATGAATAAGATATAGAAACTTGCCGGAAGAGAATTAATTTAAGTTAAATGTACATCCTACTTAAATTAAGTTGTCATTTTGATATTGACTTTGTCACTACACTATTTCCATCATCAACTTATTTTATAATAAATTATAAATAACTGGGTCATTTATTACAGAGATTTTCCATGAATTTGACTCTCGGTCTTCTAGTAGATTGTCGTATCTGTGTTTTTTCACATCTTATAAAGAATGAACTTAATTAATTAACATAGTAATTGCATTTAAGTTTCAGTATGAAGTAAGGTCTCTAGGACTTGGATTGATTCTTCAATTTTGATGCTTGAAATCGAATAAGTTGGCGCCTGTAACGTCATGTTATGCTATAGCATTGCATTCACATCAAAATTGCTAGTGAAATTGGAGTCAATGTGGCGAAGAAGTTGGAGTGGGTTGGCTTCTTCCTCCAACCAGAGAACGACAGCATCATGTGAGATTTCAGAGCTTCATGCATAAGAAAGATAATCCAACGCACCATTATTAAGCTTCAATTGTTTTCAAACCAAAATGGTGGCCCATGCCTCACATATTTCATTTCAGATAATGTTTTTTAAGATATGTATATATAAACAAGATTAAAAAAAAGAGAGTGAGAAATGAAAATAATTGTATAAGTTATTAATTATTTAACAATCAAATAATTAAACTGTTAAACAGATGATAAGCTTTTAAGAAAAGTGTTACTAAACTCATTTTTTATTTTTATTTTTATATTATAAATTCAAATAGAGTCACTTATTCTCTCAATTAGACATTTTCTTTCTTTCTTTCTTTTATCTAAAAGTGCATTTTATATATTATTTCAAGTAAGTGATTAAAAAATTATACAATCATCTTAATGATATCAATGACCTTACAATTGAAACAATTTTTATATGTAAATTTCTTGATTATTATTTCTTTCAAATTAACCTCTTTTATTTATAAACTAAATTCTAATATATTTATTTTGAAGAAACGGTGAGTAACTAAAAATAATTTTATATTACAATTTATACTATATGTATCTTTTATTATGAGTCTATTAATACAAGACATATAATTATCCCAAAAATAAGGTGTGTAAAAAATATTATTACTGTTGACGATATTCATTATACAGAATCATAACATCTTTTAATTACAACAACCACTCCCACCAAACATTATTTCTCTTGATTACCATCTTATCTAAATATCTTATAGTGCTTCACATAATCAACACACTTCTAAACATGTGATTTAGTTCTATATTTAAGAATTTAATGAGTGAGTAAAACTTTTTTTTTTCTTGCTTTCAACTAACTTCACCATTTTACTTTTGTTGATTTTACTATATTTATTAAGATATTTGCTTGTTTTGGAACATTATGACATTTCAAACTTTTTATATATATCATATTTAAATTCACTAAATCTAAATAGAGTGATCAAACCTATGAGAATCATGAGAATTTATGAAATATGTTCTTCTTTATCAATATACTCAAATAATATTAATTGATTTTTAAAGGTAATATGACATTGCAATAATCTTTATTGTAACTTAAAATTTGGATGAGTTAAATTTTAACAATTTAATCCATGCACTTAGTGATAATGAAATTTATATATTTAAAAAATTATTTAATAATATAAAAATAAAGAATGTAAAAGAAAAATCTTAATTTATATAATTTCTTGCACCAAACAAGGAACTGAAGACATTCAAGTGTGGTAGTTATTGTGAAATTCAATAAAGATAATCTTGTCCAAAATAAAAATAATAAAAAAAGTTGTTATAAATTCAGACATGAAACAGTGGTCGTTATTGTGAAAATAATCTTGTCCAGTCATAAGGTAAGGTAAACAATAATGGCGGCGAAGTCACTAAAACCAAACTCAAACTTGTAGCCATAGCCACCCAATTCGAGTGAGGAACACTCGATATCCAACTTTCAATTCCACACCTAATTCGTTCGTGTTAAATTTTCAATCCCTACTCCTATCGTAATTCGTAAGTTTCTCTTCCTTTTCTAGGGCTTCTTTTCTGCGATCCCTATACAATGCTCACTTTTTCATTGCAAATACAATAATTCAATTCTCACTGACCAGAGAATTTTAGGAGACATGATTGCAGAAGCTTTGAATCCTTTGGTTTCAATTAATTGATGCTTTTGCTGACAGGTTTGTTCTGTTCTGTTCGCAACGCCAAGAAGATGGGGTTGTGATTCTTAATTGGAGGAGGGAGGACACAATGCGGTGGTTTCCGTTGAGTACAATTACAACGTCGGAGAGAGAGCGAGATAGAGATAATAATAGTCGTGCTTCGGTGTATCTCAATGTATATGATCTTACTCCCATAAACAATTACCTTTACATGTTTGGCCTTGGAATCTTTCATTCGGGCATACAAGGTTTGTGTCTGTTTTGCTTATGCTTCATTCATTTGCTGTAATTTTTTTTAACTTGTTTATGTTATTGTTCTTGTCTCAGCTTATTGCGGGACAGTAAAATTAGATTGGGGGTGAAGGTTACAACCTACAAGAGAGTTAAATTAATTTACAGTTTACCATTAGTCCACTAATAAATCATTTATTGCGCAATAATTGACTGTTGAAGAGAAGATAAGAAAAATAAATGGTGTGAATTTATTTTAGATAGTATATTATTAGACTATGTGTCTTGCTATTGGAAAAAACTTAAGTTGCATATCAATTAATGATAAATTAGAGACAACATTCATCTTACAAGTTAGTTTTATTAGTTTAAGTTAGGCTTAAAACTCACTTTCTAAGACTTGCATAGTTGATTTATTTTGCGGTTTGGATTGGAAGGTGATGATGTGCCCAGCAGCCGTTACTTGGCTCCTTAATTCATCTATTTATTGCCCTCGTATTCTCTCTTTATTCTGCCGTGACTTTTTCATCCATGTGTTTTCAACCATTGGCTTCTCTCTCCCTCACCTTGATGTTCATCTAAGTTTTAGATATAAAAAATAATAACTAGCCACTAGACAACTATGAGAATAGATCGTGAGGAGAAAACCAATGAAAAGAAAGTAGGCACAAGTCACTTAGTCTTGTCCTCCTTTAAACTATCAAACTACACATTTGCAAAACCATCAACAACTCTATACATAATGTGTTCAGCTTTTAGTATGTTGACATGATCGAAAATGGCACATTATAATATTCAGTGGAATGCTTGCATGTTCCTGTTAAAATATTGATTACACCATTAGTTACCCCATGAATCATAAATTCATTACTGAAAGACTTAATTACATAAATAATTCCAAAAATAGTCAAATTACAAACATGTTGTAAGAATTTCTTTGTGCTTTCTGGTACTGTGATTAATGTTGATTTCAAGTTCTTTTGTGAATATAGTGACTAAGCTGGATAGAACTATCTCCCTTGAACAAATTATTGACTAGGAGATTGGATGTACTGTTTTGCTGTTTAATACCATGTTACAACTACTTATAGCTTATTGCTTTAATGAACAGTTCATGATATTGAATATGGCTTTGGAGCACATGAATATCCAAGTAGTGGTGTGTTTGAGGTGGAACCTAGAAGCTGCCCTGGCTTCATATTCAGACGATCAGTGTTGTTGGGCAGCACTGATATGTCTAACTCAGAATTTCGATCTTTAATAGAACGTCTGTCTGCAAAATATCATGGAGACACTTATCATCTAATTGCCAAAAACTGCAACCATTTTACGGATGAAGTTTGCCAGCATCTAACAGGAAATCCTATCCCTGGATGGATAAATCGGATGGCTCGTGTAGGTGAGAATCTTTCTGCTTGCTTATCCTTGTTGTAAGTCAAAATTTGATTTCTTTTTAAATGTGCATGTGTAACATACATTAGTATACCATATTCCATTCTGCCTCTTGTTTTTGTTTTAAGAAGATGCGGTCCTGCTTGCACCAAATGTGAATTGCAGATTACAATTGGAATAGGTAATATAAGAGTTTGACACAGGACTAGGAACACAAGCATGCTTACAATTGGGCTTCATTTTGTAAATCTGGTGGTTACAAACTTACACATACTAGTTTTGTTGTCGTCTGATCATTTGTGGTTTAACGTTCAAGGTTCTTTCTGCAATTGTCTTCTGCCAGAAAGCCTCCAGGTTGCTGCGGTTAGACATATCCCTGAACATCTTGCATTTGCAGGTAAGATACAAAGATTATAATGTTGGCCAAATTGGTTCGCAATCTATGCTTTCTTTCAGCTTGTTTCTATTGGTTATCCAAGAAAGAAAATATCTATTACAGATGGGCGCATAGAATACATAAGCCTAATATGTTTTCTATATATATGAAGTTCATTTTGATACTTATGGAAAAAATAAAAGAAAAAATGCACTTAATCATGAACCCAGAAGTAAACTGGGAATTATTTCTTCCCTAGCAAAAATATCCATGGACAGATGCTTGATATTTTAAAACGCCTTGGTTACTTGAGAGATATCCAGCAAAATTTGTGGTGGTATTTTGGAAAATATAAATTCTGTTGCATAGTTCATTGGATTTTGAGTAATTGAATCTAGCATCTGTTCCCATACTTGATATTAACTAAACCATGAAAGGAAGGATCTAAATTTACGTCATTGCAGATGATGATGGATCAGGATCTGATGGCCTTTCTGCATCTGTTGAGAGTGAGGAGGATGAGCCCAATCACCATTTGCTAACTGCACCAAATGGTGATGTTGCCTTTCTAAAGGAAAAACCAGTTAGGCTGGCACGGGAACACCTATGATTTTAATTGGTTTACCTTCCGTTTTTTATTCTTTCTTTGTTCTCTTGGCTTGTACCTATCTATGATCCTAGATTTGAGTGCAACAGAGTTTCTCGGCTGGAAGACTCAAAATGGATGCTTTGTAGAACAAAGATGATAATCTGTTGTTGTATAATGTCCTGTACGTTTCAAAATGGACTGGTTGTCCTGTAGAGGCTATTAGGAGTACAAACAAAAATGTTTTGGGTATACTATTAAATCTGATTGAGTTATTCCTTTGCCAATCCATCTTTTTTGTCCCTCTTGTGTCACCACTAAGTGTCCACAATGTTGAAGTAACACACAAGATGACAAATTCGTGTTTGCTCTTTTTATGAAAGTAAATATTATCGGTTGTGATTTGGCCCTGCGTCAGTTGAAAGTGTCACGCAAAGGGTGGATGCTCTATTATGCTTTTGTAATGACAACTGTTCTAAAGATAGATTCTTGATAAGTACGTAGAAATGGGACATGCTCATTCGGAAGAGACGTCCTTAAGTGCTGATATCACTTTTGCATGTGTCCCCATTTTTTCTATTGTTCTTCGAACGCACTCCTCGAGTTCTTCCATCTTCCACCTTACAGATCCCTCCATTATGGGCATAAATTTAACAATATTTTATCATTATATTGTCTACAAAATTTATGTCTACTACAAACTCAAAATGCTCTTTCATTACTATACTAGCTGTTCATCATTTAGTTGGTGAGAGTGAGATTTCATTTTCATTTGATAAAAAAATTAAAATATTAGTTATTAAAAAAGTATATTAGTTTTACTTTTCCTTATAAAAATCCAAATCTTATCATTTTCTTTTATCTTTTCCATTCACTTATAACTTTGAATGTTTGTTAAAAATCTATTAAGCCATTTCAAATCTTATAAATCCACATAGAATTTTTTAATCCTATAAATTTCTATGATATGAATTCATTAAAATTTAAACTATAAAATCTTGATTATAAAGTATTTTAATTTTTTTTCTTCTAAATCATTATATTTTTATAAAATCTACAAAATTTCTTTTATGTCAAATTTATTTTTTAAAATCTCAGTTTAATATATTTTCCTTATTGTAATTCAATAGATCTTGAAAAATATAATGGATGAATTAATAATCATTCATAAAATTAAATAAATAAATTGTATCGATTTATCATTCTTTGCAATTATCTCTAGTGATCATGTCTTGGATTCTTAACATAATTTTCTTCCTTTCTAATATCTATAATTTTATTTGGATACTATTATCTTCAACCGATTAGTGCATATGGTATCCATTTATTTTTGGTGAATTACATAAATTGTATTGCTAAATTACACAAATGTCTGAAACCGTTGACAAAGAGGACTACTCCAAGTCAAGCAAATAAGCCAGAGAAATTTAGTTCGGATAGTGGAAGACGAACAACCGTCTATGTGGCAAACCCCTTGCTGCAAGGCGCTGAATTGGTCAACATTGAAGTTTACACACTAATTGATGTGACTTTTGAAAAGTTTATTCTATCTATTCCTTTACAAATTTCTTATATTTCCACCTCACCCCAAGCTTGTTGAAGCCTGCAAGAAACCTAGTCTTTTAATTCTTTTAACAAAGTTGCTCTAGGCGGCTCAAGTTTCTTCACAAAGACTTGGACTTATTTTTTTATTCTTGGTCTTAGTCCCCCACCAATTAGATAGCTAATTATTAACTCAGAAACAAAAAACAGCCTCATATATTCCATCCCCCTGTAAGACTTGACCCTCCATCTTGTCCATTCCCAACAGATGGATGCATTCATCTTCCTCTTCCTCTTCTCTGTTTTCACCTTCCAAAGTTGTATTATTAAGGTCACCTATGCAACAAAATGTGGAGATACAGGTCCTGAAATCCACTATCCATATCAGATAAAGGGTCAGCAACAACATCATGAAGCCCTTCATGGCTTTGAGGTTCTTTGTAAAGACAACATCACCACAATCCACTTTCCATCTTATGGGGACTTGGTAGTGAACTCCATTTCCTATGAAACCAAAAACATTCACCTTCTTGATCCCAAAAACTGCCCCCATCGTGTCTTTCTGAACCTCAACCTCTCCCTTACACCCTTCCACTATTTCCATGTTCTCAAAAACTACACATACCTCAATTGCTCCACCACCCTTCCACATCCTTTCGTGGAGGTTCCATGTTTAAGTGCTTCAACTCATCATGTCTACACCGTTGACCCTGCACTTCCTGTGCCAGGTTCGTGTGAAGGAATCAAAACCGTTGCCATCCCTTTTGCATATAGCCCTTATCTCTCAGACAACAGGCTTGGTCTTAGATTAACATGGGACTCTCAAGACACCGAAACAAGAAACAATACTAGAGGCTCCCACACATGGCGTAATATAGGTAAATCAAAATTAATGTTTTTTCTCTCTTGCTTTCCCCTTGTTGGAAATTTGGATTGGATTGGACCCTTTCAACGTTACATGGATACTTAGTTTTGACATTACTATTTCTTTAGATTATATTAGTAAATTGTGGGGTTTATCACTTTACAATTTTTTTGTTAACGATGTTTTGCAGTTATAGGCACCAGCATGATCTGTGTTTTCGTGATGGCGATGCTGATTATAAGTATAAGCATAAAGGTTGGTGGGGCTACGAGGAATCGCCATCAGAAAGAAGGGCAGTTATTGAAGAGTTTCACGGATTTCTAGCTGATAGACTTTTTCAACAACATTCCTATACTTACGTAATACTTACATTTCTCTTTTTGTTTTTCTCTCAACCTGTAATATGATGTTACCTGTCACATTTTTCACTTTTTTTCTTTTTGCTTTTTTTTAATCTAACTATTAGGTAGTCTTTAACTGCATAATTTCTGATGATTAATCTCTAATAGGTATATAATATAGTGATATTAATTTTTTATAAATTGAAATATTAAAAACATATCATGTAAAAAATAATAATTATTTATTGAAGTTTACAATACTCAACGCTTAGCTTGAATAACTGAAATAAAGTCATTTCATATATAAATATTTAGTGAATTTAGATTACGTAATATTTTTTTTCATGCTTACAAAAGTTAGGACGAGTTCTGTCATACTTCATGTTTGGTAATGATTTTAAAAAAGCAAATAAAAATGAGAGAGAAATAAATAGATCAAAGATAAGGTGAAATTTTGGGTTGTTTAATTTTTTTTTATAGAGAAATTAAAAAAAATCTAAATTTTTTGAAATTTTTTGGTTTGGATAGAATAAAAAAAAAAAATATATAGTATAAATTCCTATTATGTCCTTATGTAGTAGACTAGCATAATAATATGTAGGGGTGGCAAAACGGGCCAGCCCGTCCCGTTTTGGCCCGCCAAAAACGGGCCGAGCCGGGCTGGCCC